GAAGAAAACTGTTTAAGATTCATATGTTTAGCGTCTCATGACAGTAGTCTATTATCATAAGGTACACAAGCATTAAATATGAATAAATGTGCAATTCAGATCCAAAAAAAAAATTCCGACGGTTCAGAAAAAAATCTATTTTAAATATATTATAACTTATTGAAAGTTTTAAAGGAATAATTTTCGTTTTAATGTGAAATTTGAGTTATATGTGCGATTTAGTTCCCTACTTGATATTCAGTGAATGTTATATTTAGCTCGTTAAAGGTAAATTTGAATGCTTCTTTAAATAATAGCAACTTTAGTTGGTTGTACATTCACATTGAAAAGGCTTCGTTCGCTCTTCACAGTCTGATTCGGCCACTTAAAAGTTAGCAAATCAAAGCAATATCGCAACTAATCAAAAATATTTTAATTACAGTTAGTAAGTGTATATTTTGAGATCTTCAACGGCTACCTATTTATTAAATTAAACTAGTTTACGGATATCGTCGCATAATTAAAAAAAAATGAAACTAGTTAAAGAACATCAAGAAGTGATCGTAAAATCGAGAAGTCGATTTACAAACTGTTAATTGTTAAGTATGTGCGTTTTTAATTGTTATTGGCCGATTAATACAAATTTTTGTCAGAAAAGTTAAGCAACATTCATCGTGCCGAATATAATAATTTGAAATAAATCATTCACTCAAGATATAAGCATAGTCTAAGACTGCTTCCTTATAGCAGTTCATTGTTCCGTTACCCGAGCTCCCGTGCAGGATGTTTGTCGTAAAATAAACATTCGCGTGTGTAGGTCGATCTCTGTGAACATCAGTCTAACGGCAATTAACGCCCATTAAGCCTAATCGTCTGATCCACGCATCAAAGTCGAATGCTCTTGTGACGGAGGGACGACAAGCGCTTTTATTCATAAATCGAGAGTTTTAGTAAAGTAGTTGAGTGACCTTAGCGCATATGCGAATCGTGAATCTCCTGCCTTATCTCACCTAGATATATATATAAATAGGTTGGGCATAATGTCATGTGTACCTCTGATAATAAAATAACAGGATAACTGTGATTTTCGTTTAATTACGAACCTCATTGCGATACGGTGGCAAATTAAAAAAAAATAACTATCGATGGATGAAATCTAAGCTTCTTATTTCGATGAATAAATGATTTTGATTTTCTTACTACGTTGCCGAAGTGACATTCATTTACGGTAGAAGAGTTGTATAACTTAACAGACTTGTTGAACATGTCTGTGGAGCTATCAAATCGAATATGCGACGTTGTCAATTTTCAAGTACAGGTGTGATTACACAGATAGTACGAAATTTTATTTATTGTTTTGAAAATAAAAAAAAAAATTCTATACATGGTCTCGTTAATACTTTAAAATTATGGGCGTTCAATCTGAAGAATTTCACGAAGAGGGCTTATTCCCCCCACACTTGCAACATCGGAGCGATCCCAGTTGTGACTCCTCCGGTGTTGCAAGTGTCCATGGGCGGTGATGATTACTTACCATCAGGCGACCCTTTGCTCACCTCCTTGTTCACAAAAAAACTCATTAGCACTCAAGCGGTCATACAAGTTATCAGTAGTACCTACTTATCAAAGCGTTCTAATTTTTTAAAGGCGTTTAATGCTCGAGTACCGAATGTTGAGGCAAGTAGAGATGTTGCCGTTGATGCTAAACCACCGATATAAGCACACTCACTCGCTCCAAGTAACTGGAAGTGACAAGCCAATGTATGAACGCACGTCTACACTCGGACGTATTCCGGGCGCGTATCCATCAGCGCAGCGTTTGGTTACTCGTTCACACATTTCAGTGGCCGCCGTGGGCACTTTTCACGTTCGAGATGAGGCCCGGCGATTAGATCTCGCGATGGGAATGTTTTACGACTGGTCCCGATGTTGTAACGCTGTAACACGAGTGGGCAATGATATTTCGCTTGCGCTGACAATTGCGCTCCACTTCAAGCTATGCTATGGTTGACGGCTAATTATTTATTTGGCGTTATTTAGTTCAATATTGAAACAGGCTAACAATAAAGCTTAAAATAAATAAACAATGAAAGAGTATTACGTCCGTTTAATAGTAGATTTATGTTCAATAGAATTTGATGTAACTCGACGCCATTAACTAACGCATACATATACAATTCACATTGCACAAACAGTGAATCTTTTTAAATTTTATGTATCAACATAACTTAGCGATGGAATGGTAGTCAAGCTCAATATACAATTTGTAATATAAAACAATGTTACTCAGTATGTTTAACATTTAACGTAACTTTGAAAGTTATAACATAAACACGAGATTTCGAAGGATAGCAAACATGTTATTGACATGAAGTTTTTGCATATTAGAACGACATTATTAATAACTTTTAAAAAGGCAAAAATTACTTCTAACTATTGTTATGTGTTAACGATAGAGATGTATAACATAAAATTGTCAGGAATATATCGACCAGTGGTTGCGTCTATTACTGTTTTACCGGACGAGAAAACGTGTCTCACTGAGGCGACTCTAATCGCTATTTTAATGGATAACGAGATTATTCGGCGTGCTCGCTTCGATATAGTTTCGCGTGCGGCGGCCGGTTGCATTGCACAAGCTGAAATCGTACCCGCTTAGTTGACAAATTGGCACTTGGCCGGTTTTTGATTACCACCCCGATATGCTAATGCGAGATCTAAGCAGTGAAATTGCGATAACAACACCGCCGCTAATGAATCAGTACTCTTTGTTAATGCTGGCACGCCAGGTACACTCGAATAGACAATATATTTCTTTAAAGATTCTTTTAAAGCAACGTTTAATTAAGTATTAGAGGTGTTTTGTTAAATTTATTGAAGGTACCGTGCCTGTTGTTCCCTGCGGCAAGTGCCTCCACATACTGTTGCCTGTATTTTTTATTAATTGTATTCTCTATTCTTTCTTTTGGCGCGTTTGGAAAAAATATGAGAGTAAATTTTTACAATGCCAGAAAGCGACATGATGACGTTGGTTGCAAAGCAACCAATTTCATGGTGTTACCACGGCAACCTATAAGAACTGGAACCTGGACTGAACTGGAAAGTTCGTTAATTAAACCGTTAACCATTGCATTTAACTAAATTAATGTATTTACGGATTTATCGCGGATTAATATCGGGCTACTATAGCCCAGGTTAACTTTGACATTCAGACGACCACCGCCTCAGTCTGTTCCGTGCCATGAACTCTGTAAATTAGTTGAAACGTTGGGAAACAAAATTTAAAATTATACGCGATAAATCCGTAAATATAGATAAATTTAATAATGGGCAATCGCGTATATCAATTGCATTTAACGTCTTTTTTACAAACAAAGTGTACAGGCACAAGAGATAAATTTTTTGCTTCCAGGCATTAAAAGGAACATGGGAACACTACTTTTGCTTTTGATTTCATTGAAACCTTTTTTTAAACGATTGAACTATGCTAGTTAAGTAATTACAGACACGAAAGAGTGAAAAACGTAAATGGCTAAGTAGTAACACTAAGTTACTCTACGACTGCGGTGCTCGAGCCATCGTTTTTGCCTGTACAAATTTTATCGCAACGGATAGCGAACGGTATCGCTTTTACCGTCTCTTATCATCTCACGAAGGAATTCCAAACAACATTGCTTCGGTGTGCGCACGATAAATTTAATTCCTATAACGCAGCGACGCTAAGTCAGCGCCGTTGACAGAAATAACTCCGTTTGACCCTAAAGCAATAAAACACTCGGGGTCTTAACAGCCTGGGCACAAAGGTTCGGCGTTAGCTGTTAGCGGAATGCACCACGCTATACCTCGGAGCCTTGTATCAAAGTGTAATCTTTATACAGTTATCCCATTAGATAACAATAAAATGTTATCTTCAGTGTTTAATAAATGGGGTTTTTAATCAAATGGTGCATCACCGTTTACATGTGCGCTGTGCCAATGAAAACAAGTAAACATAATATAGAATACAAACTAAGAGTTTTTGTTGCATTCCGTTTTCGGTATTGATTTTGCCGTCCTATCTCATTAAGTTTCTCTGTAAAACCCAATCAAATGTTTAAAATACACTAATGTTGAAAAAACGAAAACGACGTTAAACAAGAACATTAAATATTTGACACAGTCCGTATGAAAGCGATATTATAAATTTTTTACTGTCTCCTTGTCACAGGTTGAGTGAATCGTATGTGTGAGAATAAAATAATATAATGTTTTATTTATTGTTCAATAAAATATAGCATCAGCTTTGCGTATTGCTTCGTGTTTAGTTTTTTTTTGTAGTATTTTTTTCTAATAAATAATATTCGGCAATTCGAATTTTGATTTTATTAAATTTACAAAAAAAATACAGAAGAATTGTTATAATAAGTAAATGCAAAACGTTATTTGCATTGTTTCATAACGTTTACCATGAATAAATAATATTAAGGAAATATATCCTTAAAGGACTTTGTATATTCTATAATATGTTTTGGTGAGAAACTAAGGATGCGAAATTGCAAATTTTCAAGAGTACAATTTATTTTATGGTTAATTATTATTTATTTGGTTAAGACGCAGAAAACTATATTATGAAAAAAGTTCAAATCAACCTAAATGTAAACTTTAAAGGTTCTATACGTACATAATAATAACAACATTTTATCAGTAACTCGAATTGCGAACTGTTTAATAGAATATTTGTTCTCTTTTCCAGGTAAGGACTCGTTTCCACAGCCGAAGAACGCGTAAGAATCCAACGAACAGTGTCAAAACCCCTTCTTTTCACACAACAACGAAACATTTAAATTTAAACCAGCCGACCTACATCGCAAGTGAAACGCCGAGCCGCGCCGCCTCATTCTGTTTGTTTTTGACAATCGTAAATTTTTGTAAATCGTGGGAAAGCTACACAGAGGCTGGTGTTGGCAACGTAAGACGATCGTAATTGACCCTGGGATTTAGGTAGTTACTTACGTTTAGATTGGGGACAAACGAGCGGTGCAATGGGTGACTCCGCTTTTCTGAGTGGCCGTAGCGGGGTTCTATCCGGCGTGTTCGATGTCACGTGAGAAGTAAACCTTAATATTGGGTATGAAGGAACCTTAATATTGTGTATTTTGGGAAGATAAGAGCTTAAAGCAGAGCTGTATGATTTACCATATCGAAAGCATGGTCCATGTTAAATGTTAGAACGAGCCGTCTTGTAACAAATCAGCCCCTTACTCAACAGTTCAGACAACCTCGCATGAGTGGGCCCTACCCACCGAGGGGGGCCTCAAATCCGTGGGTACTGGTTAACCCACCGGTTCTGCGTTCGATGAAGCTTTAATAGTCTAAGGACTGAAAGCGTCGAGTCAGTACAAAAACAAAAAAAACCTTCGCGAACTAAAACCGCAAAAGGGCATCATACTTAAAACGCGACCCGCGTTGCGTGTTCCCTATGGAACAGTCCGTCCGCTACATCCGGAGCCTGGCTAGCAACGCCCGTCGAGACGGCGATGAGCGCCACAGACCGCGTAGGCAAATCGACGGCTAATTGTGGCCCGCGGCGGCTCCGCGCTCCGTCGAAAAAACTAACGGAGCCCGGCTCCATTGTGGCACGTCACGAGTTCGGCTTGAGGTCGCTTTTGTATGTTCGCTTAGACGACGCTTTGGATATGCGAGACTGATTGTTTCTTGTGCCATGTATACTCCACATCGTTTATTCGCGTTCATACAAATTGCGTGTCAATGAATGGATATATTTTTAATGTTTCGATTTATGTAATCGATAGCATAGCCTTATAATGCTGTTTTGTAAAGATTTATTTATTTCTTTTATTGGTTTGGCCGCGTGGTTGGGAGCTTCAATTACAATAATTTCAATGGGTTCAATAATTTTAATAGTGCTTTTAAACCAACAATTTTGACGTTGTACTGAGATTTAATAGGTAATAAATCTCAATACAACGGAATAATCTCAATATAATAACTATTAAATCTAAGTAGATTAAAGCTAGATAAGCTTAAAAGATTTCAAGCACGTTACAGTTCATTCGTAATCGACGGTTGTAGTGTCGCTTTTTGAACAATATGCCACATACCTAGTTAAATATATTATTATGTACAGTTGTACACTTATTTTTATATTTGTTCGCATTATATTTTCATCAATGGGCATAGTTGCTCATGTTCCCCGCCAGAGCGCTTTAGAACGACGATTACAAAAGGCACCGTCCCGTAATTTATTTAATACTACACCGTTTCGTGTGATTATGCTAGGTACCTTTTTTTGACCTTAACCAACGGCTTCCTTAAATTGGGCCTTGTTATAATGAACAACACAAAAAACCTTATAATACAAAGAAAGAAGGCGATCTCGTTTGCCCTGTTATTTATCAAATCATCAATCATTATTATTCTTATATAGAAAGAATAAATATTTTTTTTCTTTCTCATCAAAAGTTTCGATTTGCGACTAAGAATAGTTTCTTCCAGGCAGCCTCATTCACTATAGCCAAACATACATTAAATTCGTTATACACATATATTTCAGGACAATTTTTATGCAACGTCATCTATTTCCACCCTAAGCAAATCGTGTACTAGTTAACTGATACAAATACTCAAAGATACTTTTCTTGTGATTAACCAAATACTATATAACACTGTTCATCGCACAATAATTTCAATGGCGCGGATTGAACCAACATCTTCCTACTCACGAAATAGTTTCACCATCCACAACTCCAATCGTTATTGCTATGAATCCGTGACGTACTTGCCAAGGCGGTTCTGCGTCGTGGGTTCTGGCTTCGAATCGCACACGAGGCAGTTATTTGTGTGATAATAGTTTTCATCAGGGTGTTTCTCCACGTGAAAATTATGTAATTAAACCGTCTTTATACACCCATACTTCACACAAAATAATGTTATCCTACAGTAAGGATGCAATATTTTCGGAGCGAAGACTGCAAAGGATTTTTCTCGGTCGTAGTTAGTGCTCGTTGAGACTTACTACCCAACCCCTTCCACACAAAATACAGATCCAAATTCGGTGACTCCGTGGCGCATTCGTCTAGGTATTGGCTTCGGCGTCGGGGATCGTGGGTTCGATTCCCACACGGGACAACTATTTGTATGACCCACAGATAGTTATTTCGCATTGGGGTGTTTGTCAACGTGAAAATTATGTATGTAAAACGTCCTTGCAACACAGGATAATGTTATCCTAAAGTGAGGGCAATGTTTTGATAAAAAAGAAAAAGAAAAGAAAATTGCCATCCAATTGTTCAAACTTTGTCCGGGTAGTTCATCACGACTGGTAAATTGGTTCTCCACTGTTACGAGTCCGTACGTATTGAGCCTCCGTCCACCTGAACGCACTGCAGCGGACCACAAATCGGCCCAATACCGACCCATTACACAAGATCGGAGCAAAATTTTCACGTCAATAACAGTTTACGTAACTCGAGCGTCGTCCGTACAGAGTAAATGTTTAATTATATAAAAGCAGTGAGGGTAGCAGCGTCGTGTTTTTTCCTCAACTATAACATCACTCAAATGCTACCGGCTAATGAGGGCATACTTCGTCTCGTGTTCGTGCACGCCAAAAGGGTCTTAGTTTCGTTAGCTGGAAGAGCTCTAACGCCGTGCCCGATTGTTCCCGCGGTGCGCAAGCGCGGGCGCTTCTTAGAATGCATAGGGCCCGTAATCGCTCCCCGCCGCTCCTACAACCGCCGCAATCTCGTTACGTTAGCGCATTCTTTGTAATTGCAACGTGGAACGTTCGCAGTTCACGTTACACAGCGCCGACCAGCGAAATGACCCTGCGAAGAACCCTCCCCGCTTAGATAGTTACGTTTTTATCGCTATCAACGCCCCCAAAGCAACAAACAGCTTCTCAACAGCTGCGCGTCTTCGCCCAACGCGCGTTCCGAATTACATCCGAGTCACCGTTCCGCGAATAAGGACGGATTAGCTTTTTCGTCGTGCGAAATAACATGTAATAAACAAGAAATACTTGATTCGTGAATCATCGACTTCCAAACAACATTTAAGGACATGCATAATGAATTCATCGGACACTTTGTCATCGACTGGAAAACCGCAATAAAGCTTCACCGAGCATTGTTTTGTGACATGAAGTCTTACAATTCTAGCGCTGCGTAGGAATTTAATAAATTATATGTATTTTACACAGACGAACGAGGACAAATTGTAATATATATATACTTCCGAAATGATTTTTTTCCAATTTTTTTTAAGACATGCTGGGCCTTAAACAATTAAACAATCGACACAATAATGACAGGACCAATGAGTATTTACATCCACCCCATAACGATGCGTACAATATAATGAATTGTATTCTCGTACAAAGACATCTTTACTTACTCGGCTATGAAAAGCAATTGTATATTTAGACCATACCAAATAAGTATCGATTTTTGGCGCCTCGCGCCATTTGCGTAACGTAGTAGGGCAGGAACATTCCGATGTGTGATTTCATAGCAACGTAGACACACGTACGTGAGGCGAAAATCTATGCTATAGCTCTCAATATTCATAACGGGCTTACTATTGTTTACAGCCTCGCAACTGTCACGTATACACCGGCGCCATATTGAAAAGGGACGTGTTACAATCCACCCAAATACACTTGGCCCCCTAACTGCCTACGGTCTCAGCTTTCTAGGTGAGGTTGCAACCGATTGGCAGGTCTATGAGTAACGGTAGGTTACTTGACCCAAAGAAAATTATGAATGTACCTCTTTAAGGTACTGAGGCGCATTGAAAGCGGGCTACCGAGCGACGGGTAGCGGTGTTCGGAGTACATTCTTAAATAAGTATATTATTCCATACCGTGACTTATTACTTTGATACGGCTGACTCGCGTATTTAAACGGCAGTGTAATGGCGCAAATGTTTGCATTGGGCAATCTTCGCAATAAATCGATTATATGGTCATTTTGGCTACATAAATTAAAATACTGCAGAGTAGTTAGTAGATTTATGAACTTGATTAATATAAGTCTTTTAAGTTCAAAACATCTTTAGGGCCATCAGCCATTGCTGTTGCAAGAATGCGAATGCTCTTCCAGGAAAACATCATGGCCTTACAGAAGACTTGATGTACATTTCGTTTAGTTAAGCAATGCGTGTTCAAATTCGCATGTCTTTGTAAAAACTCTGAAACCAAGAGTTGTAGAAGGACCACGCAGCGGCGTCTGCTGTTGGAAGAATGTCGTAGTCGTAGAAGATCGTATTACAGATGCGTTGGCAAATTTTAATAAACCACCTTACCTTACTCACCAGACGAAACGCAGAAGTATAATAACACTTCCACATCACGCCGGTCCACTGTGAGGTCGTGATACTTATCCGGACGGACCTGCCCATTCGCGCCACAGCAAAGACTGCTGCGTAATTTGCGTGACGTCTAATTAAGTATATTATATAAGTTTATTACATCTTTGCGTTTAGTCAGATGAGATAGAAGGAGATAACTCGTCTCCAAGGGTGGCAGTACACCTGCAAACACTTTATCCGTAGCGTTTGTAAATTAACGAACGGCAATTTCACTTACCATCGGCGATCCATTTGCTTGTTGCGCTCCTGTCTTAAAATAAATAAGAGTTCGGTTGTGGACTTATTTCCATGTATTGTAAGAGTATTGTTCGCTGCTAGTATCGTTAATTTATAGCCTAGTTACGTGCAAAGATGTACTAATTATAAGTGCGGAGTGTTTTGAGTGGGATGTGTTTTTCCACTAGTACGTTATAAATTACGCTTAACAATGGCTGACGGGTAGATAAGAGATCAGCAGGCGTGAACTCGCGCGGTGCCTGTTCTGACGTTTATCCATTTTTTTGCCACCGTAACTTGGGCTATGTCATTTCGGCTTTGTTAATAGGTTTTAATTTTCTTCTAAAACGTGGCTCAGTTCATGTTAGGCACGTATGAATATTTCGACGTATATAACTTTAAAAATGCAGGCGCCAGCTATCTCACTCCGAAGACGAAACGGGAAAGTAAAATACATCCACTTCACTTCGTTCAGTAAGTAATGTAATACGATGACATAAGCACCTAAACACAGAGCTATAACTGTATAAATAACCTATACCATTAATATACCAGCAGTACGCACATGTCGCCGGTTGTCGTTTGAACTAGGCCAACTGCCCAGCGATACCTACGTGCCGAATTGATGTCGGCATCGCGAGGAGCCGTTGACTCATCTGACACAGGCCCATTCCGCGGTGGACGCGCCGCCGTCCAGCTATTTTCGTCGACGCACAATGTGCTTTTTGTGTCGTCCTAAAAAGCGCGAGTGGACCACAGTGCTCGTAAATCATTCCAACGGCGCGAATAGCTCCGAGTCGAGATTCTATTACGCCGGAGTAATTATACCGCCGAGAGCAATTTGGCGGCAAAATTCATTACCTACCTACGTACGGTCTCGAATCGCCCGCTCCCGGTAAGCGTCGTAAGATCGTTAGCGAAAACGTAATTTCTGTTCAAAATTAAATATCTGTACACAAAAAAATGTGCGAGGGTTTTTGCCGGTGGCGATTGGTATTTCGATGTGATTTAATATTTACAAAAACTGTCTAATTATTTACGAAACTCTATCTATCAAATTGTCTTTTTCGCCTTTATCTTTAATAAGTTTTTATGTTTCAATATTACAATCATAGGCAAGTAATGTATAAAAATACGTTGTCTATCATTCGTAATCGATGTTTTATTTGGGGTGATACACAAAATCTCGTAAGCGGATCGTCGCACCGGAATAAATCGCCGATCACCGTAAATCAGCGGTTATCTCGCATACTGACATTGTTATCTAATCCAATTAGCGCATCAATCACCACGGGTGGTGGCCTTTCGTAGAAAGTGGTTGGCGATGGCCGGTGAGCGATTTACACGATCTCTCCTGAGCTTCAACATAGAGGCATTTGCATTTATAATGGCTGTTAATTTGCGTTACGTAAGCTTTAGGTCCGATCGAAAGAAATTTTCGATTGGCCTGCTACGATCGCGGTATCGCGAATCAATGCCGGCGGTCTAAAATTTGGACACGGTTGAAACGTTTAAAATTAATTAATTAATTTTAGGCTTGTTTTAAACACTCAAGCCGTGATAGCTCAGTGTCCAGGGGCTCACTTGTAATTCATATACCCGAGCAATCTGAGTTTCAAACCCTGTGCCAGCACCAATAAAATTGTTGATTTTAAGTCATCGTGGTGAAAGGATTGGCCAGTCAGTGGGGGGAAATCACCACCACCAGGGTGCGCCGGAAGTACGGACTTTGTATGTACATCGCTCGGGGAGGCGCGTTTCAGGTACCCTAAGTTTTAAATACACACGTATTTTTAATACATATCACGTGCTCAGCTGTGACGGAAATCATTGTGAGGAAACCTGCACATTTTAAAAATTAAACCAATTTTCAAATGGTTTGTTAACGCATCTGTAACCCTCGGGTGTGGTAGATGTCCATGGGCGGCGGCATTCACTTAACATCAGGTGAACCGTCTGCTCGTTGACAACTTTTCGCATAAAAAAAATATTAACTTAAAAATATTTCTAAGATAATTCTGAGATAAAGGTGAAGGCCGCCAATCCGCAATAGGGCCGCGTGGTGGACTATGCCCGTATCTTCCAGGAGGCCTTTGCCCAGTTGTGGGACATGTATAGACTGATATTTTTTTTACGTTTTTCTGAGCCGTCATGGACGCCCTCTGTTTGTCCTGGGTACTTCACTGGACGAGCCTTCCCATTCCTGGAATAATTGAAGCGATTGCGTGTCCCCGACCGCTGTTAAAAGTCCCTTTCCGGGTTGCTTTTTTTTAAAAGAAATTAAAGAAAATAAATGCTTTTGAATGTATTCCGTCGAACGCATCTGTTACGGGTAAACGTCGCTTGTTGTACTTTCGCAAAAAACGCGATCGTAATATCACGAGCACAGTACTACAATAGCGTATCGCAAATTCAATTATGGTAATGGTGGATGTGGCGTCACCTGTTAGGACGATGGTTAGTGAATACAATTGTGAGATTGTGAATGACGATAATGGAGTTTGCCATAATTATTGCATTATAAAGAAATGTCAGACATTCCAGTGAATTATAAAGACAAATGCATCAGAATAGACCCAAAAGTTGCTAGACATTAGTTTATGCTATAAGAATTCCTTATCTCGTTCGCCCACATTTCGCGAAATCTCTCGAAACGGCATGCAATTAGTGCGTCGCAGCGGAATTCTTTCAAAACCATCGATATTCATTTCATTACGACCGTGGCTGATCGAAATAATACCGTTGTTTTATTTAAAGCCCTGGCCGAGAGAAAGTTTTATTTTTGCATCCCGATAAGCTTTTTGGAGTTTTAATTAGTGTCCGACATTAATTTTTGCTGTTAACGGTCGTTTTGGCGTCGTCAACGTCAAATGCCACGCACAATCCGATTGAGTATGGATTATGTACGGTTGGATAGATTTTACTCGCAGATGTTTCTATCAAAAACGTGATAATATGGTTAATAGACAGCTGCTGGATATAGTTTTTAATAGTATGAGCTGTCTCCGTTTCTGTCAGGACAGTCTAACAAGCCGTTGCGGGGACTGAATAGAGTGACGTATGAACGTTCGCGCTTTATTTTGAAGTACGCACACACACGCGCGGTCCACTAGCTCGGTGCAGTCGGGCGGGCAACGTGCGTTTCATAATTGCGTCTAAAAACGGCGGCATGCGACGAAATG